TCCAGTACTTTAAAACATTTAATTTATTTGGCAGTAGCTGGCTTTAGCAGCAAGCAAAAACAACCACCCTACTACAGCAACGAAAAAGAAAGTCAACAGCCTCCTCCAGGCCAGGAAGAGAGGAGGAAATAATCTGATACATGAGTCCTTGCAGGTATTTCATTCAACATCTGTGTGTGTGTGTGTGTGTGTGTGTGTGTGTGTGTGTGTGTGTGTGTGTGTGTGCGCGCGTGCGCATGCCTGGCAGGTTATTTGGCTGGTAAGTGTGGAGCACAGGGCTGGGACTCCAGGAGCGGGGGACTCTGGTTCTGTCTGTTGGCTAATGCAGTTCCACTGAGCACAGCAACACTGGCCACTGGTTGCAAGTCCACATGCCCAGATCCCAGCTCTCTGGACACCTCCCCTTCCCAGCCATCAAGGAGAAGAGCTGGACTTTTTCTTCTCCTGTTTTTGGTGTAGAAGGAATTAATGCAGTTATTCAACACAGACATTATTGGACTAAGGGTGTTTCTGAGACACTGTTCAACTGGAATTATTTCTGTGAATTTTCTCCAGAAAGGAGGGCCACGGAGAAACAAGGGGGAAGAAATAACTGGGTGGAGCAGTTCCAACAGGGAGAGCTAAAGCAAAACTGCTGGAAGGAAGAACCACTCGCCCCCTTCCTCTGCCTGGTGGCTGGTGGGGGTCTGACCCCTCATTCCTGCAAGCAGGGTGTTGCCCCCCAGAGTCCTCTGTTTTTTGGGGGAAGGAACAAGAGTCCTCCCCAAGAGCAGTAAACAGGGTGGTTGACTCCAGGGATTTCATACTGGTGAGAGGAAAGTGAGGTTCAGGCAGTAGCTGTAGATGCTGAGCACAAAGCAGGGGCAGACCTCCTTCTGCTGGTCCAGGTCCATCCTTAAGCTATAGAACAAAGAAATGATCAGTGACCTAGGTGAAGGTTTGGGTCAACCTGTAGCTTAGACAGTGTGGGGCAGGGTGTAGGGGATGGAGACTTTGTCACTCAGAGCGTGAGGAGAGTAAAAATCTCTTAGCACAGGTGATAATGAAGGGTTCAGAGTGGGTGAAGCAATGGCAAAAAATGCACCTGGCAGCATAGCTGGGTTTAGCCACCATAAAGGGGCAGAGACCCAACTGGGACTATACAGTTGGACCCATAGGGAGACAAAGGGACAGGGACTGTAACTTGAGTTGTTGGTGTCCCTCACTGAGTGACCTGAGGAACCACAACCCCTTGCTGCCTGTTAGTCTGCGATCATGGTAAAATCATGCTCGAGTGCCTGGCTCCATTGAGCAGCATGGAGAACAGGTGCTGGTGTGTGTAATGTCATGGGGTGATCATTGGAAGTTCTCACCATGCCTGTCCCGCACTGTGCCATGGGAGCACCTCCTGTACGACACGTTCACCCAGACCACAGCAGAAACCATGCACAGGAGGATGGAGAACTGCAGGATCAGGAGGAAGTTGCTGCACCATGGGCTGAAAGCGGTGACGGTAACGTTTTGTGGAACTGACCAGACTCCTCCCAGTGACACGTTCTCTGTCCGCTCCCTGTATGATAATGAGCAGCAACATTTCATTTTGGAGGAGAGAGAACACAGATAGTCACAACCCCACCTTTAATGTAGACCCTCCAGACCCTACCTGGGGGCTCATTCATCCATTTAGAGAGACAACAGCAATTTGTTTTGATGGGGCTCAAATGGTTTCTCTGCAAGAAATGCCACCTCCCAGCTTATTATTCCAAATTCTTGCATGTTAGACTTCTTTGGGGCTGCTACCACCTGCAAGGGATTCTTACTTCCATTTTTTGGGGATGTATCTTGGTAGGTGTCTGGGAAGACGTGGGATAGTAAAAGTGGTGACCACTGGATAGGGCAGCTTGCACTCACCTTGGAGGAGAAAGAGAGGAGGCATTGCCTTCTTCCAAGGTAGCTCTCCATTGAAAGCAGGTTGTTAGGGGCCCAGCTAGAGCTTCCCTTCCTGAGGAAGACCAGGCTGCATTTAAATGTAAATGGAAAAAATATGGACCGTTCCAAAATCAAAACCCTTCATATTGCATGGCAAGTGCAGCTGCCATGATGCCACCCTGTACTCAGCTCTTGGGGTGAATATAAATGCCAAACCCTTAGTATCTTAGAGAACAACACTGCGAAATACTTGCTTGTATCAACTGAAAGTGCACACTGGAATCTAAGCCTAGTGTTTTGTTTGTTGAATCTGCTGATAGGAACTATTAACTAGTTTTACTACTTATATTCAATATATATTCAGTGTTGGCCAGGATGGTGACACTCTTGCTCTCACCAGTGGCTTGTGTCGTATTATTTACAGCCACGCTTGGACAAACAAAAGAACCAGGACAGGGCCTTACCCTGCCCACCCAGAAACACACCTCGCTTTACTCAGGAAATGGATCCCATCACAACTAAACCATAAAATGCTGACTCCAGGAGTCAAAAATACAAACCCAACCGCCAACACCTTGTCTGAAAGCCCTCTGTGTCCCAGGCCTTGGCAACCCAATGGTTTGAAATCAGGGACCATCCCAGACACCCACTTCTACCATGGTCATCTTAAGGGAGGTGTTTGAATCCAGCTGCACTGTCAGCCCCCCCGGGTTTTTCATAGTTTCATAGTTGTTAGGGGCTGGAAGGGATCACGAGATCATCAGGTCCAGCCCCCCTGCACTTGGGCAGGGAAGACCACTGGGATCAGATGCCCCCAGCAAGGTGCGCGTTTAGTCACCTTTTAAAGTTCCCCAGGGTGGCTGATTGTACCACTTCTGGGGGAAATCTGTTCCAGGCTCGGCACTCGAATCATAAAGAAGTTTCTCCTTATGTCCAATCTGAAGCAGTCTTCAAGTAGTTTGTGCCCACTGTTTCTTGTCTTCCCATGGGTGCCTTGGTGAACAGATGCTCCCCCAGACCCTGATGTGTGCCCCGATGTACTTTTTGCAGGCCTCTGGATCCTGGGGTAGGGCAGGTTCAGCTCTCAGGCTTGACTCCAGGACCACCACGAGAGCCCCAACACTTCCTCACAGGTCGGCAGCTTGTGCTTCTCTTGGGCCATGTACTGTCTGTCCTGCCCCACCTGCAATCCCAGCACAACCCTCCCTTGCTGCCCAGACCTGGCCTTGGAGCCCCATGCCCTCCCAGTGGCACAGGGGCGCAGGGGCGCAGGGCAGGGAGTTACCTGAGGACACAGTTCAATAGTGTCCTTGAGACTCGCTCCAGTCCTGCCTCACTTGCAATAGCAGATGCCAGTATCTGCCCAGTTTAGGTTCTCCAGTATTGCTAGGAACATGCTTATGATGTGGTGACTTGGTCTCGTTGCACCTTAGTCACTGATGTGGTGGTTGCAATGAGGTATTCCCTACTGGCACACCAGTGAGACTCCACCCTGCACCAGTGTTTCGCATACTTCTCATAGCCCTTGTACTGGCATGTTACAGACACTGGTCCACTTTTGGCACCCATCACCGTCCCTGGGCCTGTCATGTTCCTGGAGCCCACCACAAACCAAAAGCCTGAAGGAGACAGGTGCACAGAGACCCCGAGCCCTTCTCCCTGCAGCAATGAACCAGCCCAGCACCCCCCCGGAGCCCAGCCTGGGTGTGTAGGATGGGAGCAGGGAGGGAACCAGAAATATGACATAAGAATCTGATTTGGGGACTAAAACCCTGTCCCTTTGGAAACATTTTTTGTAGGAAAATTTCAGTGACAACAAAATGTTTTTTCTCTTTGGGAAAAGGAAGCCAACAAAGATGCCCCGATGAGGCATGCTGAAATACGCTTTTCATTTGGAATGAAAATGGCCTCTTGTTTCAGTTCATCATTTCCTCTGCGATTTCAGGGGTTTCCCTCAAAAA